CTTTCTGCAATGTCTTCGGCAATACGACCCCAACCATAAACCGCCATTTCATCACCAGTATTCCATTTTGTATTACACAACTCTATAGTAGAAATATTGTCTCCTTCCATGGGTTCAGATAATTCCAATAGTGCTATATCCATATCCTTGGTTAGGAAGTTGTATTCTTCTGGTATATGTATTTTTGAGACAGAACGTTTAATATCCTTTTCAGAAAGATAAGTAGCTCCTCCTATTATGGACAATTCAGCGGGACTTAACCAATCCACACAATGAGCGGCAGTGAGTACAATTTTTGATGCCACTAAAGAACCACCACAAATGAATTTCTCGTAGAAACGTAGATTAACAACAAATTTAGCTTGATCAATGGTAATCAGTTCACCATTCACTATACGGGCACTTTGATCTGTCTTATTTAAAATAAAAGTATTTATTTGCTGGTTTAATGCAAGGATCAAACTGAATAGTATAAATAAAATTGGCATGTGTCTAGGTTTACCGATATTTTTACACTGAACTTTTCTATATTTATCTAACCAAATAAATAATATTTATAGAATATTGAAAAAAATCTTAAATATTTGATTTTTAGCAAATTTTAATCAATTATAGAATTTTATAAATGTAAAACTTTTGTGACAGATATAGAATGGAATGTTATGCATGCAACTACTATATTCACTATCTGTCTATATAGCGTATATCCAGCAACAAAAGAACTTCCAAAGAAGCGAAAAAGAAGTAGAATTTACTCCTTGGAAGTACTGAAAAAGACCTGAAGAAATGATGATTTTAACACAGGCTTTGTCATAGTAGGGATGTCCTTTTTATTTGATTCCAAATTCAATACTTCTGAAGTCATTCCCAAGAAGTAATTTTTATACTCTTCCTTTTTTGGAAGTTATTCGAAACAAAGAATACATCTACAGCATTAAAAAATACAATTATTTTCGCTTCTTCGGAAGTCATTAAACATTACTTCCACAGAAGGTAAACAAATTCACTTAGTGCTACTTTTGAAGTGGTGATAAATGTTATTCTTTTGGAAGTACTTTGTTTTATTCTTGGCTACATCGATGATAGACCTAAATCTAACTGGCGAAATATACATTTAGCCGATTTATATTTATGTGAGGATCGAGTTTTAATTCCTTTCTTTCAAATTCGATTTGTAAAATACAGGAAAAATTATTTTTTGAGACACTAGCAGAATGAAAAGCATTTCGGAATGTATTATTTACTTCGTAACATCATCTAAATTTGAAGAAATGAAATATGGGACTCAGTATAAACATTTTGTACAAACTTTGATTCGTTAAGTGAAATATCACTATAATAAAGGGTTTAGTTGTGGTCTTACGAATTAACGAAATCTGAAAACTTTGGAATATGTATAATCCATCGATATATTTGTTTATACATATATAAAATTTTGTATTTTTTAAAAATATTTTTTGGGACACTAGCAGAATGGAATGCATTTCGGAATGTATTATTTACTTCGTAACATCATCTAAATTTGAAGAAATGGAATATGGGACACAGTATAAACATTTTGTACAAACTTTGATTCGTTAAGTGAAATATCACTATAATAAAGGCTTTAGTTATGGTCTTACGAATTAACGAAATCTGAAAACTTTGGAATATGTATAATCCATCGATATATTTGTTTATATATAAAATTTAGTATTTTTTAAAAATAGTTTTTATTAAATTTTATTAAAATAATTAATGGTTGCCAAAATTGTACATTATTTTATCAATAAATTCTCTAGCAAACATAATATTTGCATAAACGCCCGGAAAATCCTTACGAGCACAGCCTGTACCCCATGACACTACACCACACAATTGATTTTTAAATACCGCAGGACCACCAGAATCACCAGTACAAGCATCCTTACCCTTCAAATCGCCAGCACAAAACATTGAATTTGTTATTTTTTCATGACCTCTATACATGTCACTGCATTTTTTCTGCTTTATTACCGGTACATTTACGGTCCTTAATTGATTTGAGCTGGTGGTGTTGGCTTCGGTAATTTGACCCCAACCATAAACCGTCATTACATCACCAGCATTCCATTTTGTTTTACACAATTTTATAATTGAAATATTGGCTCCTTCCATGGGTTTAGATAATACCAATAGCGCTATATCCATATCCATGGTACGGGGATTGTATTCTTTTGGTATATGTATTTTAGTGACAGAACGTTTAATACCCTTTTCCGAAAGATAAGTAGCTCCTCCTATTACGGACACTTCAGAGGCTCTTAATCCATTTACACAATGAGCAGCAGTGAGTACAATTTTTGGTGCCACTAAAGAACCACCACAAGAAAAGCGACCGTGGGTACGTAGATTCACAACAAATTTAGCTTTGTCTATGGTAGTCAGTTTACCATTAACTATTCGTCCATTTTGATCTGACACATTTAAAAACAAAGCATTTGTTTGCAGGACTAATGCGAGGATCCAACTGTACAGTATAATTAATATTGTCATATTTACCATTATTATTATACTATACTTTTCTATGTTTAACAGTTCAAATATATATTATTTATAGTATTCTGAATTGCATCTAAAATATTAAAATTTCTTTAATAGTTTAGACCTTTTTTTGTTAACTAAAACCTTGATTATAGGTTTAAACAAAGACCTTGGCATAGAATTAGTTTGAGGGAAATTTTAATAAATTGAAAATTCTATTAATATTTATTGCAAATTTTTATCCATTATGGAATTCAGTCAATGTTAGGAATTTTTTTGTGACACATATAGAATGGAATGTCATTCTATAAATAATGTTCGTATTACAGTTTTGTTTCTGCGATGTCTAGTAGAAATTGATACCCTACATACATACATGTGTTTATACATACCTGTTTCAGTTCTTTATCTATCTAGATAGTAAGTAGTCTTGTAAACATCCTATATTATTCTCTTTATATGAAATTAGAGCAAAGTTTACCAAATTTTAGAATATAAACGTTTTGTATAAGTATGTCTTGCGCTGAGATCCTTGACCAAATGATCTTATAAATACAAGCTCAGAAAAGTAGTAAAAACCTTTACTTACCGGGTAAGCAGGTAAGTAATGTATGTGAATTACTACTGAAAGAAACATTTTTACTAAATATTTAAAAAAGAACCTTGTTTGTTATGTAATACTAGCATACCCTGGCTGCTTCGCTACCCTAACCAAAATTAAATACATAAATACAAAATTTTGTTTACTTTTGTAGAAAATTAAAAATGATTAATAATTTATTTAATATTTCAGTTTTTTACGTTCAATGTCACTTCGAATAAATTCAGTAAGAGCTTGTATTTTTAGTTTCATTCGTTTAGCTTCCACATTATTATAGAAAATTTCGAAAGTACAATTGAAAAAAAAAAGTACTATAAAATAACTCTAATAGATTCTTATTTAATCAAAAATTGTATGTTTCTGTGTTCAATATTATATACAATTCAAAAAATATAATTTAATGAATGAGAAAATACCAAAAGTCCCTTTCAGTAGATTCTCATTCACCAAATTTTATATTTCTATGTTCAATATCGCAAAAATATGAACAAGTACTATCGGAAAAACGAAAAAGTACAAAAATCTCTCTCAATAAATTCTCACTTAATAAGGACCGTGTGTCATGTGTTACGGTTAACCATTATAGAGAATCCAAAAAGTACCATTTGAAGAATGGTAAAGTACCAAAGACTTCCCAATTACAGAATATTACTCAGTCAGGACCATGTATGTTAAAATTTATGTTCCTAGGTTGAATATTTTAGAAAATTCAAAAAGTACCATTTATGAGATAAAAAGTACTAAAAAGTTCTCTCTTAAATAATCTTATTTAATGAGGGCCGTGTATGTTTAATAATCATGTGTTTTGAATTCATATTATAAAACATACAGAGTATCATTTGAAGAAAGGAAAAGTGCCAAAAGTGGAATAAATACTAATAAAAAATAGTACAATTTTAGTACCTTTTCGCTTAGAAATATACTTTTTTGTGAATTAAGTTTACAAAATGTTCCGTATTTAAATCTATATCACAAATAAAACTCAAACGATTCAAATCTGCATTCATTTCTTCTAGAAAAATTTTTCTTTCAAAAAGGTACCAAACAATTTACTCCAATTTGGTCCTATATAGGCCTTAGTACTCGAATTCCAAAAAAATATACCAATAGCTTATTTTGTGTGAGTAAATAAACTACTTTTTCAAATTTTATAAAAATTGGCTTAATGAGTTTGAATAAAATGAAATTTCCCGTTTTTCCCCTTTTTGGTACTTTTTCCCCAGTGAAATAGCATACATTTTGTTTCAATAAATATTACAGAGTTAGCCCGTAATTTAATAGGAATACTTTAATTAATCGAAAAAGTTTTCACATTAACTAAAAAAAAGTACCAAAAATAGAGTTTTCTCCCTTTTACACCCAAAAAGGGCTGAATTATAAAAAAGTACGAAACAGGTGTCTCCTAATTTTGGGAGATGTATCCAAAATACTTATAAAAATTTTATTATGTTAATTAGTTCAAAAGTTCTAAAGAACCAAAAAAGGTACCAAAATCACCTTTGTTACATCAAATTTTTACCCCTTAAAAGTACGAATTTCAAAAAAGTACCAGACACCCATCTGCTAATTTTAAGAGTAGATACAGGTGCATTTAAAATTTTTCTTGTATCACTAATATTGTGTAAGATAATTAAGAAAACCAGTTTTACCCGTTTTTCCCCTTTTTACCCGCAAATGTACAAATTTCCAAAAATCCCTCCTTAGTGGATCTACATAACCAAAAACACATCTACTGTCAAAATTTCATGATTCTAGGTTCAGCCGTTTGGGCTGTGTGATGATGAATCAGTCAGTCAGTAACGCTACTCTTTTATATATATAGATTAATATTTTGGTTTATTTATAATATTTAGATTTTATTTAAATATATCTTTAAAATATGAAATTAATGAAAAATACATACTTTAAATATGTATATAAAATAATTAAAAGTTGGACCTTTAATAACTTTCATACTTATTCATTATTTCATCTATAAATTCTCTAGCATACATAACATTTGCATAAACATGCGGTAAATCTTTATGAGCACAATCTGAACCCCACGATACCACACCACATACTTGATCATTAAATACGGCTGGTCCACCGGAATCACCAAAACAAGCACCTTTTCCCATTAAATCACCAGCACAAAGCATTGCATTCGTTATTTCTATATCGCCTTCAAACATATCTCGACATTTTTTCTGCTCTACTACCGGTACATTTACGGTCCTTAATTGATTTGTTTCATTGTCTTCGTCAATTTGACCCCAGCCATAAACCGACAATTCATCACCGGCATTGCAGTTTGTTTTACACAATTCTATAGTTGAAATATTGGCTCCTTTCATGGGTTTAGATAATACCAATACTGCAATATCCATATTCATGGTTGGGCGGTTGTATTCATTTGGTATGTGTATACTTGAGACAGAACGTTTAATACCCTTTTCTGTACGATAAGTAGCTCCTCCTACTATGGACAATTCAGCGGCACTATACCAATCCACACAATGAGCGGCAGTAAGTACAATTTTTGGTGCCACTAAAGAACCACCACAAATGAAGGAATCACCGATACGTAGATTAACTACATATTTAGCTTTATCAATAGTAGTTCCATTACCATTCACTATACGAGCACTTTGCTCGGATATTTTTAAAAACAAAGCATTTGTTTGCAGCACTAATGCGAGAATCAAACTGTACAATACAGTTAAAATTTCCATGTTTCTGAATTTACCGATATTTTTACACTGAACTTTTCTATAGTTTCCTATCTGAATAAATAATATTTATAGTATTTTTAGAAGCGTGTAAAATATTTGGATTTAATTTAAAATTTTTTTAAATATTTATTGCAAATTTCTATCAATTAAGGAATTTAGTAAATGTAAAGTTATTTTTTGTGACTCATATATAATGAAATGTTGTGACACATAAAGAATGGAAAAAATATGTGTCACTTTGTTTCTGTGATGTCCAGCGGATTTTTGATAGACTTATCTGCAAAATTAATCAAAGATTTTCAAATTCAAAATGATCAGAGAATGTTTGAAATGGTAAAATTGTCTTTCAAAAGGACAAGGTTTATTATTATATATCAATGGATAGGAAATGGAGACTTCTTCAGATATATGTATCTGTGTAATATCTCTCTAAATTCAAATTTGGAAAAATAAAATTATCAATATGTTTGATCAATTCGGGAACTTTATATTTCTAATAATTTGTTCACTCATTTCAAACCAAAGTAGTCACTCGAATTCGACTGAAATTATGTTCAAATTCAAAAGGTTAATAATTGAATATATAGTCAAGATGAATTCATGTAATATCATTTCAACAGCTGATTTCTTGCTCTCTCCAATAAACTAAAACTCTCTCGCAACCGACTCTAACGAGCTTGATATACACGATCAACTTTGAATATTTAGTTTCAATAACATCAGCGCATAAAAAGATATTTTAACTCGAAATTGTCAACATCCAAAAGTTTCCGAAATTGGTTTAATGGCTTTTCAATCTCTTTTCACACACACACACATTTTTATGACGTTTTTTTTACAATTTATTTAAATGGTTTTTATTAAAAATTAAATTACATACAACTTTGCATAACAATTGATCTAACAAATGACATTATTCTTGAACTGGCGACATTTGTATAGACTCCCGGAAATTCACGTCTGGCACAACCAAATCCCCATGAAACTATACCACAAACTTGACCATTATATACCACAGGTCCACCCGAATCACCAGAACACGAATCACGTTCTCCCGGTACAGAGGCACAAAACATTGTACTAGATATAAATGCTTTACCAGCATACGATTGTTGGCAATTCTCCTTCGATATCACTTGCACTCTAACTGTACGCACTTGATTCGGTGGTATACGACTAGATTCACTTGTTACACCCCAACCTGATACACGAACATAAGCATTGTTGGCAGGACGTTTAGAACAGAGTGGTATAGTGGCAATATTGGGACCTATTAAGGGTTCATTTAACTTTAGAACAGCCACATCCATATCAAGATTGGTGGGGGAATACAAGGCCGAGACAAACGATTGCTCTACTTGACGCGTTTCACCGGGATCTGTTAGTTTTGAGGTTCCCGCATTAATGCTTAAACTGGAAGCTGGTACTCCATTTACACAATGGGCTGCTGTTAGCACACATTTGTTGGTGATCAAAGAACCGCCACAGGAAAATTGATCATTTCGTCGTAGATTTATTAAATACGGAACATGTTCAATGGTAGTCTCTACACCTCCAACTATACGAGGATCACTGGAGTGATGCAAATACGTTAAGGGAAGACGAAACAAAATTATTGAAATTGTAACAGCCAGATATTCGCATGACATCTTTGATTTCCAAGCGTTAAACTAATACTATCAGTAGATTTTTTTATAAATTGATCATGCATTTTATTATTATAAAGCTATTAACGCAATTATTTGGGTTTCGCTCTATTAGATAAATGTTGGCAATTTTCAATTTATAATCAATATGTAACCACCATTCAGTTTTAGCAATTATTTTTTATTATATACTTTAAAAATCCCATTACACTGGGACTACTTAATCTGGTATACACACCAGGATATTCTGGAGAGCCACAGCGATAACCCCATGACACAATACCCACCTGCTTACCCCGACGTATAGCAGGTCCTCCACTATCACCCTGACAGGCATCACTACCCCAACTACCAATAGCACAAAACATATTTTCCGTTATATTATTATGCGGCAGATAGGTTTTCAAACATTCTTCCATCGATGTTAAAGAAACATTTACCGCCTGTAGTTCATTTGATAATTTAGCCAGAGGATATTCGTTCTTAAGACCCCAACCAGTTACCACAATTTCTTCATTTTCTTGCAAAGGACCATAATCTATTTGTATAGGTCTTACACTTCGTGAATATAATGGTCTATCTAATTCCACTATGGCCACATCCATGTCAACGGTAAAGAAATTAAATTCCAATGGCACCATCCATTTACGTACCTTTCTTATAAGCCCTTTAGCTTTTATAAATGTAGTTCCAGCATGAATCTCCCAACCGCCGGGTGATTCTAATATTGAACAATGAGCCGCTGTTAGCATACATTTTTGTGATATCATCGTACCGCCACATATGAAATGTTCTTTGTATCGTATACTAACCATGTAGGGATGTTCAGCTATCGAGGTATTATGACCACCTATAATACGCATTGTTCTGGTCAAAGTTGCGCCAATAACATTGGTTTGGTAATTGCCTTTATTGAAACATTTTATAAATACAAATATTTTTAGAAAATAAACGAGAAAATTAGTATTTGTCATTGTTGTTATAGTGAGAAAAATATACAATAGAAATATTTCTATGAAAAGTCATGCACAAAGAAATATATTTCCAACTTGGGGGGTTTTGATCCATAAAGTAGATACACTAATATCAACTTTATATAAAAATTACAATTATCTTCGAAAATAGTCATTGATAGAACATTTCGGAGAAGTAGAAGCAAAGGTCCTTCCATTCACGAAACATAATAAACAAATTTAACATCACACAGTTGGATGCCCCCACGAGTCATATCAGGAAGGATCTTCGTGTAAACCAAGAGAGAATGCAAAAGTTATGTATATGGAAGATCCCTTGGATCGTACTTCGTATACTGCGGCATAGAGACGCCATCAATACCTCGGTTTTAGAGTAATGCATGAGTGTCGTACTTGGAGGTCGCCTACAAGATTTGGTCTGAAAAAACTGAGATCGGGAGCAAGTTAGTTAGTTAGTAGTTAGTTAGTTAGTTAGTTAGTTAGTTAGTTAGTAGTTAGTTAGTTAGTTAGTTAGTTAGTTAGTTCGTTAGTTCGTTAGTTCATTAGTTCGTTAGTTCGTTAGTTAGTTAGTTCGTTAGTAGTAGTTAGTAGTTAGTTAGTTAGTTAGTTAGTTAGTTAGTTAGTTAGTATAGTTAGTTAGTTAGTTAGTTAGTTAGTTAGTTAGTTAGTAGTTAGTTAGTTAGTTAGTTAGTTAGTTAGTTAGTTAGTTAGTTAGTTAGTTAGTAGTTAGTTAGTTAGTTAGTAGTTAGTAGTTAGTTAGTTAGTTAGTTAGTTAGTTAGTAGTTAGTTAGTTAGTTAGTTAGTAGTTAGTTTAGTAGTTAGTTAGTTAGTTAGTTAGTTAGTTAGTTAGTTAGTTAGTAGTTAGTTAGTTAGTTAGTTAGTTAGTTAGTTAGTTAGTTAGTTAGTTAGTTAGTTAGTTAGTTAGTTAGTTAGTTAGTTAGTTAGTTAGTTAGTTAGTTAGTTAGTTAGTTAGTTAGTTAGTTAGTTAGTTAGTTAGTTAGTTAGTTAGTTAGTTAGTTAGTTAGTTAGTTAGTTAGTTAGTTAGTTAGTTAGTTAGTTAGTTAGTTAGTTAGTTGTTAGTTAGTTAGTTAGTTAGTTAGTTAGTTAGTTAGTTAGTTAGTTAGTTAGTTAGTTAGTTAGTTAGTTGTTAGTTAGTTAGTTAGTTAGTTAGTTAGTTAGTTAGTTAGTTAGTTAGTTAGTTAGTTAGTTAGTTAGTTAGTTAGTTAGTTAGTTAGTTAGTTAGTTAGTTAGTTAGTTAGTTAGTTAGTTAGTTAGTTAGTTAGTTAGTTAGTTAGTTAGTTAGTTAGTTCGTTAGTTAGTTAGTTAGTAGTTAGTTAGTTAGTTAGTTAGTTAGTTAGTTAGTTAGTTAGTTAGTTAGTTAGTTAGTTAGTAGTTAGTTAGTTAGTTAGTTAGTTAGTTAGTTAGTTAGTTAGTTAGTTAGTTAGTTAGTTAGTTAGTTAGTTAGTTAGTTAGTTAGTTAGTTAGTTAGTTAGTTAGTTAGTTAGTTAGTTAGTTAGTTAGTTAGTTAGTTAGTTAGTTAGTTAGTAGTAGTTAGTTAGTTAGTTAGTTAGTTAGTTAGTAGTTAGTTAGTTAGTTAGTTAATGATTCCATTCCATAGCAAGATAATCCAATATTACCTACACCATTCATTACACTTTTTCTTCAACTTCTCTAAACAATTAACCTTAAAAATACACATGTTTTTTGTTAAACATAAAGGTCATATCAATAACCCTAACCTTCCAACAAGATCAAGTGCAAGTAACACTAAAAAATTCTAAGATCTCGCACATTTATAATAAAAAATCTACACACTTCTAGCAATCAGTCGCAAAAGTTGAATCAATAATGTCAGTTAAATTTCTATTAGTTACCATGCTTCTCTTACAATTTCGAGGCAGTATAGTGGAAACACGATCAGCTCGTATTGTTGGTGGGCGGCCAGTAAATATAGAACAATTTCCCTATATGGTAAATTTGCGTAAAAAAGGTTTATTCTACTGTGGTGGATCGTTAATAACACCGAAATGTGTATTAACAGCGGCTCATTGTATTCGTAGACCGCGGGAAATAACCGTTCAAGCTGGTGCCACCTTTTTGGATGAAGACTACTATCAAAGAAGAGTTACAAAGATTTTCAGACCTAGATCCTACAATAAAAAAACATTGGACAATGATGTAGCCATATTCAAATTAAATACACCTTTTAGGGAAAGATTCATTGAAACCATAGAGTTATCGAATGATATACCACAAAAAGGTGACTTTGTTAAAGTATCCGGTTGGGGTTTGACACGAGAAAATGGTAATGTCTCACAACAATTGAGATCGGTTTATGTAGAAGTTTTATCGCATGAAGAATGTCGTGAAATATATCTAAATTATCGTAATGTTACGAAAAGTATGTTTTGTGCTTCGATCCCTGGAGTGAAGGATGCTTGTGCAGCCGATTCGGGTGGTCCAGTTCTCCTGGATGACCAATTGGTAGGCATTGTTTCTTGGGGTAAAGGTCGTGAGTGTGCACGAGAAGAATCACCTGGTGTTTATGTAAACATTTATGCACTTCGTCCGTGGATTGATAAAATTGTGGATGAATATTGTTAGGATTAGTAATTTAAGGATAATTCTATTCTATTTAGCTGATTAAGTAGTTAAATATTAATGTAATATTAATTTATATAAGTGAAGTAATAAAAAGTACGAATGCTAATACGCTTTAAATTTTGGTTCGGTACTCCACTCTTCACTATTTCAGTTAACATACATACCTCCGGAATAAAAGTATTTAGGTTCAGATCTAGTTCAGTTCTAGGTTAGTTCTAATTCAGTTCTAGTTCAGATCTAGTTCAGTTCTAGTTCAGTTCTAGTTCAGTTCTAGTTCAGTTCTAGTTCAGTTCTAGTTCAGTTCTAGTTCAGTTCTAGTTCGGTTCTAGTTCAGTTCTAGTTCAGTTCTAGTTCAGTTCTAGTTCAGTTCTAGTTCAGTTCTAGTTCAGTTCTAGTTCAGTTCTAGTTCAGTTCTAGTTCAGTTCTAGTTCAGTTCTAGTTCAGTTCTAGTTCAGTTCAAGTTCAGTTCTAGTTCAGTTCTAGTTCAGTTCTAGTTCAGTTCTAGTTCAGTTCTAGTTCAGTTCTAGTTCAGTTCTAGTTCAGTTCTAGTTCAGTTCTAGTTCAGTTCTAGTTCAGTTCTAGTTCAGTTCTAGTTCAGTTCTAGTTCAGTTCTAGTTCAGTTCTAGTTCTAGTTCAGTTCTAGTTCAGTTCTAGTTCAGTTCTAGTTCAGTTCTAGTTCAGTTCTAGTTCAGTTCTAGTTCAGTTCTAGTTCAGTTCTAGTTCAGTTCTAGTTCTAGTTCAGTTCTAGTTCAGTTCTAATTCAGTTCTAGTTCAGTTCTAGTTCAGTTCTAGTTCAGTTCAGTTCTAGTTTAGTTCTAGTTCTGTTCTAGTTCTGTTCCAGTTCTGATGTAGTTCTGTTCTAGATCTGTTCTAGTTCTGTTCTAGTTTTGTTCTAGTTCTGTTCTAGTTCTGTTCTAGTTCTGTTCTAGTTCTGTTCTAGTTCTGTTCTAGTTCTGTTCTAGTCTGTTCTAGTTCTGTTCTAGTTCTGTTCTAGTTCTGTTCTAGTTCTGTTCTAGTTCTGTTCTAGTTCTGTTCTAGTTCTGTTCTAGTTCTGTTCTAGTTCTGTTCTAGTTCTGTTCTAGTTCTGTTCTAGTTCTGTTCTAGTTCTGTTCTAGTTCTGTTCTAGTTCTGTTCTAGTTATGTTCTAGTTATGTTCTAGTTCTGTTCTAGTTCTGTTCTAGTTCTGTTCTAGTTTGTTCTAGTTATGTTCTAGTTCTGTTCTAGTTCTGTTCTAGTTCTGTTCTAGTTCTGTTCTAGTTCTGTTCTAGTTCTGTTCTAGTTCTGTTCTAGTTCTGTTCTAGTTCTGTTCTAGTTCTGTTCTAGTTCTGTTCTAGTTCTGTTCTAGTTCTGTTCTAGTTCTGTTCTAGTTATGTTAGTTCTGTTCTAGTTGTTCTAGTTATGTTCTAGTTATGTTCTAGTTCTGTTCTAGTTCTGTTCTAGTTCTGTTCTAGTTCTGTTC